CGCCTAAGCGTTGAAGCTCTATGCTCCCTGTAGTTGAGTTTGCACTCAAGAACTCCGTGCACGCCTCTACCGTCTACTCCGTTCTATGTGAATGGCCTCATATGCACACGCTTTCCGTTAACGCTACCACCGAGTGGTTCAGGGCTTGGTGGGGGAGAGTTTGCCGATCGGCTTGCTGATGTCAGGCCTAATACTATTAAGAAACAGGTGAATACGTTTCTCGCAACGCGACTGAATGTCTTACGACATGTGCAAGACGCAATGGCTGATAGCCAGGACAAACAAAAAGAATATGCGGATGCTAAAGGCAGAAATTGTATTGATGATTATATGAGGTCGGAGACCAAGTATTACTTAATGCTAAAAATCTACCTACCAATGTAGTATCTGCTGTCTTTGAGACAAAGTTGCGTCCGCGCTTTATTGGACCCTTTACGGTCATTGCCAAGAAAGGCCTAGCGTATACGCTTAATTTGCCGCGCAAATTGCGTACACATCCCGTGTTCTACGTCGGCATGCTCAACCATATCGGGATCCGTCCCAAGTAAACACTAAGGCGCTCGCGCCGAGCTCATCGGCATTATCGCGTGACGAATCATCTGCACCAACAGGTCAAGCTGACCCTGCACTCGGGTTCGGCTCTCTTCCAGCGACTCAAGACGGGAGTTCATCGACTGCACATCCTCACGGAGAGACCGCACCTCTTGAAGGAGCTCGACATGAGCTTGTGCCGGTACACCGGCCTCCTCCGGCTTTGCTTGATGGACAGGGGAATCTGCAGTTTCATGTTGAACGTCTGCTGCAGAAACGTCTACGCCATGGTCAAAACTAGTATCTGGTAAAGTGGCGGGAATATCCCGAGTCGTGGAACTCATGGGAGTTCGAGGTTCCCCTTCGGCAGGATTGCCCATGCGCCGTGGACGTATTTGAGCGTCGTGCGCAGGGCCAACCTGTTGGCGATGACGCTTCTCCCAGTAATGGTGAGGGTAGGCGAGTTAGCGGCCTCGTCCTGTCGTGAGCTCGCGGCTACAGGTGTAGCCGAAACATTGGGGTGCTGGGTAGCAGACGCATAATGCGTCGTTGGGATTTCAGTTTTCCTCGGGCCTTCAGTTTAGCGTAATCGTAACGCATTTTCCGTTCGAGTCGAACATCTGCCACATCGTCACTTGCCCGTAGGGCCCACATAATGCTTAAACGTCGCGCATAATGCGCCCAGCGGCTGATAGTCGTGTCTTCTTCGCCCTCGGTTCCCCCGCGAACAGAAGGATGGGAACACCCTTTATGGAGGAACTGGCGCACCGCGCACTTGCCTGTCAAAGCGTACCAAGTATTGGCTTTGCGTAGTGATATGAGGTTCCAGATATCGTTGTCCAAGTGCCGTTCGCGTGGCAACATCCTCGGGTGAAATGGCCTCAGGCCCAATGGCCCAGCCAGAGAGGAAATTACCACATGCCTCCTTTAGGCGTTCTTCTACCGTGGGTGGTTTGAACCTATGCTGTAGGTGGTCCTGAAGCCTAGCCATATTCTTCGTCCGGATATTGGCGCCTTCCTCTTGGTCGATGTTTGCTGCTGCTGCTCGTCGAATGGGTTAGTAACCATCGATGTTGACGATGCGTCAGGCGGTTCACGTAACGATATTAGCGCATCTGCAGCACCACGTTCAGGGAACGGATTCGTTGCATGACTAGTGTCATCTTCACCCGTAAGGGTGGTTAAAGGGGACCCATCGGGTCCCACAAAGACGGTGTCACTTTCGTAATCAACCGCTTCGTCAAGGTCGCCTTCGATAAGGTCCCGTAGAGTCTGTGACTCATTGCCAGGAGGCGTCATGTTGTGTGCCGTGAACAAACCGTAAGGATTAAACGTTCGCTAAAGCAATGCCTCAAACGAGGAAAGATGTCGAATGACATTCTATGGGAACGTCAGTCTGGTGGGGGAGAGTGTAACGAGTTTACACGACGGTTGTAACATCATTCCGAAAGTTTAGGGTTGAAGTTTCCTTTTATTACATTTAATGCATTTTGATACTTCTCTTTAGAGAGGTATTAAGTATAAGCGTTAAAGATACGGTATTCGGTAATACCGTATCTTATCGATTGGGATTCGATATTCGATAACGCTGTACTAAGTACATCATACACAGATGTTTAGACGATACGTCGTCCAATAGCAAAGTCTGCATATAATAATTACTATTATAGTAATTAATCTAGTGTAGGGTATTTAGAGTAGGACTATTCATATAATCTTAATGCACGAATAATTTCAGTTCTCATTTTGAGTTTAAGATCGCAAGTCGTTCTGACTTGTTCTCTGGTGCACTTCGTGCGTTGGTTCTCGGAACCTTTAAGCTTCTAGCGTGTTCTTGCACTCTGTGCGTAGGTTCTCTGAACCTTAAGCTTACTGCTTGCTGATTAAAAGTCTCTTTCTTGTTCCTTAGAACAGGTTGACTTTAAGTCCTTTAGTTAGTTCCTTAAAACTAAGAGGCTTTTAGCCTTCAACTTTATTTAGTTTTCTAGAACTAGGAGGCTTTCAGCCTATCGTCTTCCTCTGGCTAAAGAGCTGTGCAGCTCGGCTACACGAAGTCTATCCGTTCTACAGAATTAGGAGGGACTTCTAGTCTACAAGCAGTAAGCTTTAGGGTTCAAAGAGCCAAAGCATAGAGTGCAAGAACAAGCTAGGAGCTTATAGATAAGAGGAAACAACGCACGAAGTGCACAAGAGAAACAAGCCAATTACCGGTTTTATCTCTACGACTCAAAATAAGAACTGATTTTATGTATGCATTAAGTTTTTATGGTTAAACCTACTCGAAGTACCCTACACTAGAGGAAGTATATTATAATAATTATAGTATGCCATCGTCTGTTATTTGGATATTAAATCATCCAATCATCAGTGTATGTTGTACTTAGTACCACTGCATCAATTATGGAACCGATACCGAGAGTATAAGGTATTACTGATACCTTTACTATCACTCAAAGAATCGGTATCAAGAACACATTTTACGCAATATAGAAACTTTAACCGTAATGTACTTTCGGTATGATGTTACAACCTTTGTGTAGCCCCGTTACAAACCCGGCTTGACCAGTGCTGGGCGTTGGATTGCACACTACAGGTAAGAACGTGACACTTCAACTCACAATAGCTCAATGCTAGACGATGGGAAAGAATACCCGCAGTTTGGCAATGACACTGTATTTTTAAAAGAGAAATGATGCGAAGTAGCTAACTTTGGTATAATTGGCAAAGGTGACTTCATTAATGTAGACACGTGACAGTCCGGGAAATCACTTCCGCGACGCAACTACTTTAGTGTTGAGTAAGGCATCCTTTGGAGTCCACCAACTACCTCGCTGGATGCGAAGGAAGACGGTCTAATTGCTTCCTCGTACGTGCAAGAAGGAGCGCGTGTAGTGCGTGGCAGCTTGTACAGGCACCCTCGAAAAGGAAGACTCGGTGTCGAGATGGATGATACGAAGTAGAGGATAAGGACATAATCAAACGTAAGCCGCCTCTGTTCACAGATGATCGGCGCCCGTGTGACGACAAAATTTCGACGATAAAAATGTCGGTAGGAATAAAGGAATGGCTGCGCGTTAAAGACGATGTGACCGGTATATGACGAAGCAGATAAATGACGGCAACATGATGCGCCCCTTTGTGCGCGTAGGGCCCAAATTAATTCTTTACATCTTGCTGGAATGCCATTATTTCAATTTATATTGTTGCGCTGTAATGAATGCAAGCCTCGACACGGCATTTAGGTCCGCCTCATCTACATTGCAGGGTTCGTACAGTAATTGTAAAGTGATACCCTTGGGACAGGAGGTATCGATCAGTTAAAACAGGTTATTAGTTAAGATAGTAGTTTTATAGCTCGATTTACCGGAATTAGATATATTTGAAAAAAAATATTAGATGAAGCAGTATCACTTCAAGCAAGTTTTTATTCTGTATATGTGTTTTTTTTATCGTCGTACATCACTCAAAACTTTCTTCAATAGAGACAAAGCAACCGAAAAAGACGGAAAGCGAATTAAACTTGGACTTACTATCCCTTCTGACTACCATGTTATGGAAACTTTTCATCGGATAGAAAGGCCAAAAATTGAAATTTTCTAAAGAACTTCCCGGTGGCTACCTCGTATGAAAACACATGGTTACACTTGATAAAGAGCCGTCAGTCTCAGCTGTTTGTCCATCCTTTGCGATACTAAAAGAAGAAGAAGAGAATGCTCGGGAAGTAAGTTGTGATGTCTATTAGTTATTTAATTATGGACACGAAGTTGTAAATAAAGCGCTTTTCAATCTTAATTCTTTTTCTAAAAGTTTTAAAACGCTTGGCCAAATCGTTAAATGTTAGGTACAGTATGCTCCTTTCTCGTGTTGCATGGCTTTCATGTACCTTTCCTGCATCTAAATTTGTTCTTGGACATTGTCCACCTCGTCCATGTTCTAGCGAGTCCGGATGCAGCTCATAGCCAATAAAATTAGTCGTGTCACGCTCTTTTGTAAAAATTCTACCAGACGATACTAATCCAACAGTATTATCTACTAAAACCACACCTTCTTCCTCTTAAAAAGTCAGTCCTAGGTATCATTCCCTAATAAAGCCCATCGTAAGCATGCCCCAAGCTCTACTTCCACCTCAGTCCATCGCACTGTCCTTCATGCACGTGTCTGACCAACATTCTCCACAAGACAAAGATTTAAAACACACGATATGGCGCACTCCGACATCCGCCGTGCCTGTACCTCCCCAGACGTCAAGGTTTTCAACCTGTAAACGTCGTGCCATGTCCCTTGGTGACTTGTTTTCACGTCCACAGACGTCTCCATTGGCTACAAATGCATTGACAAATGCGTTTCATATCGTTTCAAGCCAAACGCACGAACAATTGGCCAAATTACGGTCTCAATCGGACATTTTCTTGAAAAAAAAATCAACATTTGTTTCGCGTAATGGATGGAATCTGAAAGTGAATTATCCAATGAAACGAGCGACACCCGTGGGTAGTACGCATCGCTATAAATGGAGTGAAAAACAGATGTTACAACATGCCCAGACAACGTTTGAGTGGCATGGAGAAGATGCAGGAATTGCTTCTAGTTATTTTCATATTGTTGCAGATGGAGTTTCATCCCCTTTTGGACGTCAATCTCTTGAAAAGTATGATGATGGTATCCCAGTATCTTCAGCTCTTTTAGCAACGGAAGTTGTGACATGTGTACGCCTTGTATTGGAAGAGTTGACGAATCATAATCAGGAACCAGTTGAGCAACAAACGTTTGAAGAAGCGATCGTCGATGCAATTAAAACGGCACGGATCAATTGTTTTCAGTATCGGAAATCCAGACTAGCAACGACATTGATTGTGTCGTACTTTAATCGATGGACAGGGACGTTACTGACATTTTCACTTGGAGATTCCAAGTGTTTAATTGTTCGACGAGGATCTATTGTCTATGAGACATTGGCGGTCTTACGCGAGTTTAACATGCCGACAGTTGTCAATTTACGAGAACAAGTAGTGCCAAAAGATTATGTCGTACAGAGCTTTGCTCTTCAAAAAGGTGATGTGTGTCTTACTTTCTCGGATGGACTGGGTGATAACTTGTACAAGGATGATATTACTGCAGCTCTAGCAGCGCCAGGAGAGCTATTGGAGTCTGGATTACAAAGTGTATGTGATCAACTTGTCAACATGTCCAAAGTACACGAGAAGATGCCGTTGGATGGAGAGAATGGAGGTTGTCAAGATCTCCTGTATCCGTTCGCAACGGCTGCGGTGGTAGAGTACCGTAAACGCACGTTAGAGGAGACCAAACTTGCCGCTGGTGGCCTACTAGATGCCAGTGGGGTCGACCACATGGCACTGTCACTTGAGTTGATAAAGAGACACAAAGGCAAGCAAACTTTGGACCGACATTTGCTGCTGCGGAGACCATCGCGAAAGCACCATTATTCCCTCATGCAGCTCCGACTTATGGCACTGATGTCAACGAAAAAGCCGGATGACATTACGCTCTTCATGACACGTTTTGTATAAGTGGACATGAATGACGCAAGCGTTGAAGCGCAATTTTTGTGATCTATCCTGGTACTGCTGTCGATTTGGGTTACTCCCGTCGAACCTTCACATGTCCGCATTCGGTTTTGCATACATGGCGATGAAATGAATCACAATCTCTTTGTGCGGGACATCTACAGGAGCTTTTTCATGGCTCCCAGCGTGTCCAAGGTGTTGATGACACGGTCAAACAAGCGCCAGCTGGTGGAGTGGTGGAAGGACTAGTATGCATCAGTGCGCTAGTCGATTATAATTACCACAGATGCACTAGCCTAATGCATTCTTGACTTATTTACGTCTCCACCTACTTGTCAAAGATCGTCAGTTGTTGTTAAAATGACGCTCTTGACGTACGTGAGGAAGACTGCTGCTTGTGAATAAAGAAGTCGGTGTTGGTTCAATGGCTCCCTTTACATGCTTTCGTTACCTCTGCCTGTACCAGCTGGATCTGCTACTAGTACCATGGAGCCGTTCATTTAAACGCTGTTCTTCTTGCTGAAGAACAAGCGTTTCTCGCTGTCTGGGGCTTCACCACGAATGTGCGTGAAATTGGTTTATCCGAGCCAGCTTCAGCGTATCTTCGTTTATCTCAGAGACTTGCCCAGCTGGAGATTGTGGAGATTTCAATATTGCCAAATCGAAGGCCTCTACCGATGCAACATTTGCGTCGTGGCGCTGGCCGTGCTGAGATCATTCGGGTCGTACTTGCTCGGGTTAAACGATGATAGTGCGCTTTAATTAACTCCTTTTTGACGTCTGGAATGATCGGGTATGATGCTGGGGGGATGTCTACCTGAAAATGTTCCATCGCTGCGTTTAAGAACGACTACATAGGATCTGGAGCATACGAAGTTTGCCACAAGCTACGCCTGCTCTGGCTGAGGCTGCTGACAATGACAGGCTTTAGCCTTTACTTTTGACTTGAGATTTTGCAACAGACAACGCCGATGGTGTCAAGTTCTACAGCCTGATCGAGTCGTCTAACTCACCTTCCGAGGTTTTGCAACGAATTTGCGTGATCATTCTGGTGAAGCTTCTTGCGACTATTGTAATTGGGAAGTAAGCGTGTTTTTGGTCACACGACCCATGGTTAGACTTGCCAACTTTTCCAGCATCAATTGCGTAGCATTACGCGAGCAACAGTAAACATCAGTATCCGAAGCTTTCGACTTAATTTGTGGAACTGGAAGCAGAACTTTGATTCTGTTTTGAGTCCTGCGGGAGGAAGGAGACACCATTCGTGTTTGAACACCGTTTGCCTTTAGTTGAGAAAGTATGAGTGCTTCGTGAAACTTGTCACCAAGTAAACTTTGTGCTACTTACGTCGCCTTCTGTTGTACCTCGCTAGACTGGTGTCAAGTAGTTCATTACCGCCTTAGGAAGCCTGTGATCAATGAAGAAAATGCTTCCAGAAGGCAAGAACGTACACCGCCTGCTGGACTCCTGTTTCTAAACGTTACTATTCCTTCGGTCGGACAACTCGTTCACTGCTTGTTGGACTTCTATGACCAAAAGTTACTCTGACAAGTCTATGCAGACAAGAATCAATTGACATCCGACGAAGTTGTTAACAAACCAACACGTTGACATTTGATAATTGCTAAGCGGAAAGTGAAGCAGTATTGGCTCTTCCTTTGTCGGAAAATGTTGGAGTACAGACAATCTGGTAGTCGTGGGGGCTGGCCTGCACTCGTAGTGCACCTTCTTTTAGATGCATCCCGGTTGCGTTACTACTAGTGCGTGCACGATTGCATCGTCGCCCACTATTGGACACTAGTTCTGAAGTGCTCGATTGAGCGGTGCTCTTTGACCGTTGGCAGCTTATCTTGGAGAGTTCGGAATTGCTCCGGTAATAAACTGAAGAACTTCGGAGCGTTCGACGAAGGTGCAGCGGTAAAGCATCTAGCGCTGTCGGATACACCATGGACATGTTGACCGCAGCACCCGAATAATCCATCATAAGTCCGCCTGACAGTCGTCCAACTTCGGTTGAACTATAGCAGCTACTACTGTCACATGAACAGTATGAACGATGCTGTGGTAAGACGGCGCGAGCCATTAATTCCGTCTTCATTGGTACCACAGCTGCATACGGTGGCGTGTAGAGAGAGCTAGCAATCGAGTTAACGCTTGCCTTCGGCGACATTAAAATATTGGCGAAGGGTTCTGTCCGTATGGAGGTATGGCTGGTAAAGGTGGTGGCGTTCCGCTCCAACGAGGCCAGCATAGTGCTCAAAGTGCGATTGGATTCGATCAACTGGGCATTGCGCTGGTTCTGGAGTTGAAGTTGTGCGAAGGAGACACTGTCCCGGTGGTCACGCGTGGGCATAGCAGCTGCATCGTAGATTAGCTCCTTGACCACGCGTTGCTGGAAACGATCCGCGTACTGTCGTGGATTTGCCACCGATATTCCATGTCGATCTTGTAGCAGTAGATATACTCGGACAAAGTACTCGACACGCTTGCGGAAGTTCCATTGTTGGAGAATATCAACGAGTCCGAGATAATAGAGCCCTGGTCCATGTACCTCGTCCACACTCATGCCTTCATGTGCAAGGTGGTGAAGAGGCTTCTTTACTCCATTGATGCCAGGTGAGCAATTGCATCCTCGACTATTCTGGAAGTCGCCGCTACTGCTGCGATTGCGGACGAAGCTTGAGTTGTGGGACTCGCTGCTGTTGCTCCGACCGCTTCGATTGGAATGACCACTCATGCTGCAGCACCTGTCGTGGTGAACAAACGCCGTTGGGTCACAATTGTCAGCAGAGGAATAGTGGGAGACGTTGAAGCTGCGGTGATGAATACCAACGAGCAAACTATAGTCAATGCTATTGATGCTGCAGAGGAATTCTGAATCAGTGGTCAGCTGAATTGCAACTGCTCGTGCCGTTGAATATGGCAGTGCCATGTGACGATTCCAGTTGAGATCCTTGCCGACTTGGTCGTACTGATGATTCATATTGCCTTCTCCTCGGACATTGCAACGCTGGTCGTGACTGCCACCTACCACGTACTCGACATTGCAGAATTTGCAAGTTGCAATGGTCCCCGTAGGCTTGCGACCCTCAAGTCGACCAACCCACGACCCTTTCAGGTCAAACCGCTCATGAATTGGAAGTGACGTGGCGAAAACACTCTGCATGACTACGAAGAAGACCGTCTTGCCATACATGGTGAGGCCATGGCAGCCAAAAAAGCGTGTCATAAATGTGTCGGGGTATCTCTTCATGAAAGTGTAGTAGTTTGGTAGGATACTCAGCAGAAAATTGAGCTCCTCGTTCGTAAGTGTCTTCACTACGTATTTCCGATCTTCCGTGAAGTAAAAGAAAGCTCCACTCTTGCCTTCGCTCACCCGTTCCTTTGTCGTCTGCTGTAACGAGTTACGATAACTTGCACTGGAGACCTTTGCTTCCTCTCGAAGCCGACGAAAGACATGTGGTGCAAAATCTCTGAATACAACGCCTTGAGTTCGTGCACCAAGTGTCCGATCATCGTTTCGGTTTTCAAGTATCAGCTCTTCAATCTGCGTATAACTTTCTTTTCGATCGCAATAGTCGTCAGAGTAGTTAATCGCTCCCTCTTCCAGGGACGACCCCAATACAGATTGAATTGACGAGTCAGCCGATGATGCTCGTGCTTGTTGTTCAGCCCGATCAACGCTTTGACAAATTCCTTTGGTTGTGTTGGTGAGAATTTCAAGTCGTAGGGCCCAATTGATATTGTCGTTCCGATTCCTGTCTTGTCCTGATAAATTTATATGTCCATCCGTTCGAAGCTGTTCAATCATTCTTAAAATATTGGACGTCCGTGTCCAAATCAATGCATGTACCATTCCTTTGGCAAGCAGTAGACAGGATAAAAGATGCCATACGCGACAACGAAGACCTCCTGTCGTATCCTCATTTGAATGTGGCAGCAAGTTAAATACAGTATAACATGCCAACACGAGCGTCCAGTATCCAAAATAGCATCCGACATAGTATTTCAGATGACGCTGGATACGTTTTCGCGTTCGAAAGGTATCTGGAAGTCCTTTGACAAATGTATTCCACGTACGTACAATTGCAATCAACGAGGTACAATAGACTACGATAATGTACAAAGCAAAGAACACGCCTGCTGTCAGTGTCTTGTTCATTGTCCCTTCCGTCCGATGTTCCTTGCGATTGACAAGATCTTCACTTGAACTGAGCCAACAGAATCCAAACAATGCATATTGCGTATCAAAATGTGAGATGATAGCACAGAGTAAACTCCAGAGCCCACCAAAGATGTGGTATGTAGTCATTTGTCCTTTAGATGCTGAAAAGGGATTCTTGAGCACCAGGAGTAAGTCAATAGCAAAGATAAGCATGTATGTCTCTTGACCTGTTAGAAAAAAGTCGACAATGATACCGATCTCACTGCATTGAACCGAACTCGATACTTTCTCAAGTAGATACAAGAACTGATAGATCGCTCCATATAAACTCATGCCACACATGATTCCAGCTGGATGTTGTCGTAATGCTACGACTCGCCAATACGTACCAACAACGTAAAAACATCCAAGAAGTGAACCTATTGACGTTAATACAGGAAGGACAAGACTTTGAGAAGGACAATAGGTTGTTCCTTCAATCGATAACAATTTGTTTTCCATGTTGCGTATATGCGACGAAAAGAGAAGAGAGCAAAGACTGCTATGTTTTTCTTGTTGCATGCAGTAGCAACAGCATTTTTTTACAAAGAAATGATTCTTATTGTTACAACGTTGTGACTCTTGAGACTACTTTCTTCTACAATTTCTATATATTCTTATTGTTTTTCTCGACTCGTACACGTCGAGATGGAGTATGAAGAACCGACTTTATCTCAACTGCTTTACATTGTTGTATGAGTTAATGTAAGGATTAACATGAAGTGGAGGGACTGCTGATATCTCTGCTGTCCCTCTACTTCAAAACTGACAGAGGTCGGTACACTAAAATAGGCAGATGATAGCGCAACATAAGACGTGGTTGATGGTGCGACTCTTCAAGCTCGATTTTTTTTTGCCGTGTACATTATCCGATGGATAAAATCTTGAATCCATCGGAGAATGATTACAACATCTAAGACATGATTGATGTGAATCGATTGAGCAATCAATTCGATACACAAAACTTCTGTACCCCCCAACAACAACATTCTTCACTTCAACTTTTACCGTGTTCGTCCAAAGACCATCACTCTTTCCACCCATGACCGCGTTAAAGATTGTCGTATCTGGAGCTGCTGGACAAATCGCTTACTCGCTCCTGCCTCTAAGTACGTTTTTCTCTCTCTTTTCTCTACCAGTAGCTACAACCCTCTAACGTTCCTGCTTTCTCTCTCTCTCTCTCTCTCTCTCTCTCTCTCTCTCTCTCTCTCTTTAGTCTGTATCGGCCATGTATTTGGCCCAAAACAGCGCATCGATCTACGTCTATTGGATATTCCACCAGCTCAAGAGGCACTTGAAGGCGTTAAAATGGAGCTACAAGACTGTGGATTTCACCTCATTGACGTCATTACGCCCACATCGAACCTCCAAACGGCATTTCAAGACGTGGACGTGGCGATTCTCGTTGGTGGATTTCCACGTCAACAAGGCATGCAACGGAAAGATTTAATTGCCAAGAATGTGACTATCTTTCAAGCACAAGGACAGGCCCTTGAACAATATGCAAGTCGCAATGTTCAAGTGCTGGTGGTGGCTAATCCTGCCAATACAAATTGTCTCATTGCGATGGAGAATGCACCAAGTCTTTCACGTCAGAACTTTACAGCTCTCACACGTCTTGATCATGAACGTTTACGTTCGTTTCTTGTTGAAAAGGTGAATGAAAGTCTAGAGGGTGAGAAGATTACGTCGAAACACGTGAATAAAGTGGTTATATGGGGCAATCATTCAAGTACACAAGTACCGGACGTCACGTACGCTGAGGTGACGCTTCCTGGTGAGGACAAGAGCATATTAGCTGATCAGATTGTATCGGATAAGGACTGGATCGAAAAAAAGCTTGTAAAGGACGTGCAGGAACGTGGTGCAGCTATTATTAAGGCTCGTAAACTCTCGAGTGCCATGTCGGCTGCTGCAGCTATTGGTGCACACTTGCGAGACTGGCGTAATGGCTCGCAAGAGGGCGAATTCGTCTCGATGGCTGTCTGTTCGGACGGTAACAAGTACGGTGTGCCTGAGGGGCTCATTTACTCGTTCCCGGTCAAGTGTACGGGCAACGGCACGTACGAAGTCGTTAATGGACTTCCAATCTCGTCTCGTATCAATGCGATGATGAAAGCGACGGCCACGGAGCTGGCAGAGGAGAAAGCGGACGCGGCGGAGATTCTGTCTCGTCAGTAATTGGACTGCTAGCAACGCCGAGTTCTGGAGACGCAGCGTTGATGCAGTCTGCATGAAGCCTGAATAAGGCATCGAAAATGTGCTGCGTTGGTCGTCTATCGACCAACTAAATATAAAGAAAATTGTTGTTCCATGTACGTAAGTACATAAATTGTTGCTAACAGCACAGATCCTGTGGATAGCATTGCCAAAGTGGACGAAGCTGCGATGGACATAGTAGTCGATGAGCATGGCGACAGTGTTACAACGTGTTGTGGACAAGTGGTCGTCAGCTGCATACGACAGCTTTATCGTCTAGAAGGTTTTGAGAAGGTGTCTATGAGCTGTACGAGTGTACTTGTGTAGCTGCCCCAAAAACTGCTTGTCTGAGGTTGACCTATGCGAGAGAGGACTAACCATAATGTTTTGAAAAACACGAGCGAAACAACTTTAAACTCAGGTGCGGACGAGAAAACGAACAACTAGCACGAAGAATCCTCATTTCGATGGATAAAAATTATCGATTATGGCGCGCAGCTACGGGAAGTCTTGTATAAGTGTCCGTCTACCTACTGATTGTTTATCGAAAAAGGCCTGTTTTCATATTGTTTATGAACTAAAGAAGGACTAATAGGCAGCAATTTACCGGATGAACAAAACTTGAGGCAATATCGCATCTAGCATGCAGCCAATGCTTTCTTTTATTGCAATACTGCACTGATTCACTCATGTTTTCAGTGGTCCTTTAGTAAAAAACTATTGTGACATTTGAATAAACTTAGCTGTTGTATAAAATTATCGGACTGCAGCTGACGATTTTTATATAAATGATATTTACTCGACTTTCGTCTTTTTACAATCCTCAAATATCTCACTAGTGCAATATTTTTTTTATGCCTGCTTCCCAAATTAGTGTAGCCATAGATATAATACACAAAACCAGCGGTCTATTATTCATGCTTTGCGGTAAATATTTGAAATATATAAATTAAAGCTGTCATTTAAACTTTTAAAAAAAGTCAAATCATAGTAATTTACGAAAATTAGAGAGAAACTGTACGATCGATCGTACAACCACATTAGTACGTAAAAATATAGAACTCATAAACCGCTCTGTAATCTAAAAATAAGACCTTTAAGACTCAAAGCAGTTTCCTAATAATTAGCTTCTTTTGAATACATTTTACCCCATCCATACAGTCTTTTAGCCCTCATGTCTCGTTCCACCCGTTCTTTATCTTCTCTACGTTATTGGCAATGGCTTTTAAGTGCTGAACGAGCTCTTACCTCCATCATATCGTATCTTTTACCTCCTGAAGCTGTTTGTCTATTGGTGTATGCACTAGAGGCGGAATATGAGCCATTGGTGCGTTTTTTATACGCCCATTCGCATCTATTGTCCTTTGGTGACGCTTCTCGACGGTTTACAAACATTCTGCATTGTGCAGCAGCCTACGGTCTGGCACAAGTGGTCCAGCGTTTTTTACGCTTGCAATTAAACTATCGGTTGTGTTTAAACGTTAAAACAACTGGCACAAACGACGTTTTAACAATGAAACATACTTTACTTAATGGGAAAATCTTTGCATGGTGTTTACGTAATAGTACGTATACTTTTCCAGCGGAAGTCATGTATGAAGCATCAAGACAAGGTAATCAAGAGGTGATCCAGTGGTTGGATCACTGTTGTCAATATACGACGTACAAAGCCATGGAATATGCCGCTTCCTCTGGGCACTTGGACATTGTCATGTGGTTTTATGAAAAAACGTTAAAACAAAACACGGAACAGCTGGTATATATGGTACAATCATTAGAAGACAAGTTACAGGTTTTAAATTGGGTCACGGTGTTTCCGACTGAAAGATATTTTCGAGAAGGATTCGCTTCACGAGATGGTCTTTTAGCTGCAATTTATGATCAACGAGATCCTTTATTATCATGGACAAATGGAACAACATTAGATTTATTATTTACAAGAAAAAGGTATCGAGCATTGGATACAGCAGCAGCCAAAGGGAATTTTACAATGGTTACGAAACTTCATCAAGATGGAAGATGGCCATGTACTAGTCTTGCGATGGATATGGCTGCAGCTAATGGACATTTGGAAATTGTCAAGTTTCTTCATCATAATCGAAGAGAAGGAGGAACGGCAGTTGGAATGTGTAGTGCAGCAGGTAATGGACATTTACAAGTTGTCCAGTGGCTTTATCAAAATCGAAGCAGTGACGGATGTCGTCCAATGGTGTTGGATCTAGCAGCTACAAATGGTCATGTCGACGTGCTGCGCTGGTTGGCACCTCGGTTTACACAATTTTCATGCTCACCTGCATTTTTACCTAGCGTTGCTGCTCAGGGCAATATCAAGACGTTGCAATATCTTCATAAAGAGATGAGAATGCCATTGGATCAACGGACGCTTGAAGCTGCTATTGGATCAGGTCATTTTGAGCTTGTGACTTATATTTTCGATCGGGTTCCGACTGAAGTGAAGCATACTTTGTCAATAACTGCTGCTGAGAAAGCAGCTGCAAGTGGTAATCTTGAACTGTTGGCGTTCGTGGTCGAACGGCTTGGTGTTTGGTCGCCACAAGTATTGATTGCTGCAGCTTTGACAGGAAATGTTGAAATGGCGAAATGGATCGTAAAACGAATGGACAGTCCTTCTGCTGAGCCAGAGGAGGTTGTCTTGGTGCGGGAGCGACGATATCGTGCTGCTACATCCATTACCATGGATACCATTGTATTGGATCCGTCTTCTGCTTTACTCAAACGGCGAGTGTCGTATAATAACATCACATCAGCTGAGTTTGTGCGGCCATTGGATATTGTGGACGGCAGCACATTGTATCGCTGTGCATCTCTCCGCCACTTTGATATGATTGAGTGGATACTGAGGCACAGGTTGTTTTCACCGAGCTTTTCACTTTCCATGAAAGAAGGCGAAATTGTTTTGCGTGCTGTAGTTGGGCGAGGCATGACCGATGATGATGCACTTGATGCAGATAAAGCTTGCAATGGTGATACGAACGCTGCTACGACGGAGTCAGCTACTGTAGCGGCAATTGCAACGGTTAACCGCAACGAAATGGGAGTGGGTGGAAATGGTGGTGTTCACTGCATTGCCAGTGCCGGATCAACTAGCGATGGCAAGCGGTCTCAATTTGAGCCTTTTGCTTGGGCATGTCCTGCTAAAACCAACTCATACTGGCAAACTAAGTTCGTGCACCTCGTTATACAGTATTATCCTGAATCATCGCTAGAGCTCGAGTGGATGCCGCTATGGGCGGCCCAGCGTGGGGACTTATTTGTGCTGAAGCAGCTTCATTCTGTAAAGCACCCGCAGCTTTTCACACAGCAGACGTTTGCTGCTATCATGCGCTACACCAAGGCTGGTGATTCTCTCCAATGGTTTCAAGCGCACAGCCCGACTCTCATGGGCGATTCATCCATCGTGGAATGGGGCGTGAAGTATCGTCAGTTTGCATACCTCACGTACGTGTTTTTACATTTGCAGCCCGTACGAAGTGACGAGTGGTTTCGTCAGCATGGAGTCGAGTATGCCCTTCATGTGGCGTGTGCTATGGGTCACCTTGACGTCGTGACATGGATTTGTGGAAACTGTGAGATATTCATGAAAGTGCCAGCAGTGGAGCTTCATGCAAAAAAATTAGGAAGACTTACGATTTGGAAGGATGCATTGCTTGCTGCTGCGCGTTGTGGGCAGACTGATAATCTAGCATGGTTGCACGAGAAGTTTACGTTTTTCTGCAACGTACCTGAGAGTGCTCGCAAGATGGCAGTGGTCAGATCTATGGCTGATGCTGCTGCTGAATACGGTCAATTGCGTGTCCTGCGTTGGCTTCAAGCTACTGTTGCGCATCAAATGGTCGAGGAGTCTGCTACAGCTGACGATTCACTAGCCACAGATGTGGAAACAAGCTTCGTTTCGACCAGTGGACTACTTGAAGCTATGGTAAACTGTCATGTCGATGTGGTACAATGGGTTTGTGCCGTTGACGTTGCCTTAGTCAGTCAGCAGACTCCAGAACGACGCAGCGAGCTCGCAACGTTTCTTCGAGAAGAGACTGATGGATTCGTCCCATCCAAGTTAGGATTCGTCTTTCCACCACTATGAAGCGCGTGCGATTGCACGAACCCTCATGCAGCAGCCGAGTGTGGGGTCATGTCTCGGTCAGACATGTCGCGCGGCCTCCGGTTATGCGGACAACAGGCCAAGGGAAGATACAAACCGGTTGGTGGCGTTCCGTGCCACGCGTTATCGCTTCGACGATTGCACAAGTCAGCTCGATGGACCGCACAAGCGGTCATTAAAGGGAAGCTAAACCCGGCACGCGTTCTCGCTCCAACGGGCCGAACAATGGTACACGTCTGCTGCATCAGCATAGCCGGACAATCCCGAGCAGGTGGCTAGCCCTTGTACAATCACTGGGCTTGATCAAGCACTGGCGTTGCTAACTAGGTGCTTAGGAAGACTCGTGGGCTCTCGGTCCATGAAAGTATTTTTCAAAAGGTTGTCGAGTCATGCGTGGCGTGCAGTTTCATTGCAGATGTGCAACAAGACGCACGTCAGAAACTCTTCCCTGTCCACGATCATGAAGTTGGTTCAATCAGGCGCAAGAACAATTGATCGAGTACGCGTCTCTGTCCAACATGATTGACTCAAGGGATACCGTCAAATCCGAGATGTCCCCATCGAGCTTAGCATTCTGAATACAGTTGTACACTGATGATGAACATGGCGGCTATCCATTCATGAAAGAGATGTCTAAGAACAGGTCGTGGTCCTTTGATCTTCTACTGTAGCATACTTTGGGTGCGATTGTTTTCCTTACAATCTCACGCTGGACACGCGACACTGTAGACAAGTAGCTTTGATCTAAAGAATAACAAGACTCTTCTCTCTCGTGTGGATGTCGTCATCGACTCATTCTTGATCTTGTTCATAACGTGACAAGTTGTTGTGCCTTGCAATCGATTGATATCGTTGTTGTTGTCTTCATTGAAGACGTATCCAAGTATTCAATGCCGTTTCGAATACCCCGTCGTGATCCTACATTGACGACTAGCTATGCATCAAATGCACACACTACCATGTCATCACCTCAAGACCCCTCACGCAAAGTTTTGGTGGACGATGAGGAACTTCTTGCTCGTGTTCATGAAGCCAAATCTTCTGTCGCTCTGAAAAATGCTCTCTCTGATCCACTTGACGCATGGGATTCCACCAAACACACTTCGTCCATACGTCTTGGCTCTGGCTTGGGACGTGAGATTTTTGAGCTCTCAGCTCGTGCTTCAGGTATCAATGGCAATGGGTACGAGGTGCTGACCGTTGGGTGCATTGCATGTAGTCGTCAAGAACTACTTTCCATATTGAGTCCACCTGACGAGATCGAATACAATGCTGCGATGAAAGGACTATACGGTCGTAAGTTTATTTATGGCTCTGTCGTGCAGACATTGAATGCAAACCAGTTGAAAGGTTCAATGCCTGATGGTGACCAACTTACAGTAAGAACGGGGTGCTTTGCACGTTCGAAGATACTCGCGCACAATGAGCAATGGTGTTATCTCGAGTACTTTCAGCCAACGACTGATTCCGTGACCGACTCCTTGTCGTCGCCAACTACGTCTCAAGGATTTTCGATTACGTGCCTTTCATTGTCAGAGCAAGAACTTGCAGTGGGCAAGGTCATTGGACGTCGTGTCGACCAAATTGACGGTATCACGGTTCTCCTCGTTGTTGATACTGTGCCTGCAGTGTATAAAGATGTAAGTGACGGTAAATTGACCAAGTTACGCGTGATGTTTCATGCAATGTACACGGGGCATAAAGAGCCTGTTGCCGGTCATGCAAGTGATAAGATGGTGCGTGCTAGACTAGTGGCTTTAGCTGAGGGAATTCCACGTCTTCCGGTAGTTGTGCGGCGTCGTCGTTTGGGAATCCAAGTGTTTGCGAAACAATCGGTCGATGTGCCTGTACCTGCGGCCGAAGCTCAAAATTGGCGATGCATCTCGTGCACAAAAGGTCTTCGTCTGACTGCATTAGTACGTCGCACCCGCCGATGCCAGCTTTGCGCTTACAATGTATGCACGGCGTGTTGGTCTAGTGAAAACATTGAAAATAGCAACGGTCTGGTCGTGACAATGGGTGTCTGCAATCGCTGTCTCGAGTGGGTAGACCGTTGTGACTACTCAAACGTTCAACGAGGCCGTCAAGGAACTGTCCAGATTATTGACGACCCCGAACCAAGCGAAATCTCGTTGAGAAGACCACCTGTCGGTCAAAGTTTACGCGATGATCTTGCAGTTGAGAGCACAAAAGAAGCTGCAGTGACAGTGATCAGGATGCTCTTGAATCGTTCAAAGACAGCAGCCAATGCTCCTTACAACAGTATTACCGAGAGAGCTGGAAGTGATGTAGATGACGAAGAAATGTATATGTCAGCCGTAGAAGAATACTTCCAGAGACGAGCAAGCGAGGCACCAGCTGCTGCCGACTGCGTACTGGCAAATGCCAAGCAGCGGACGTATCCATTGCACCCTATGGACCCAGGATCTCCTTCCGCCCCAATGCCCGAGAACGAAACTGCACGACTGGCGTGCATTGACAATTTAAAGTTTATGGACATCAACGACCCCATGCCCGAGTTGGACATCATTTGCTCTTTCCTGAGTAAAGAGCTTGGGTTTTTCTGCACGATGATTACGATCGTGGGCGCGACACACCAGTTGGTTCTGAGCTGTACGATACGTGACCTCGTGCAAGCCAAGCTGCCTCGTGAACATACCTTTTGCCAGCATTTGCTCATGGGCGACGCACCCATTATCATTCGCAATCCCGAAGCAGATATTCGCTTCTACAATCTAAATCCCGTGATGCGCCAAGGTGTCAAATACTACTGCGGAATTCCCATTATGGGTCCAGATCGGATCATGGTAGGCTCGATTTGCTGTGTACACAATTCTGCAATGGATGTCACACGTTCACAGTACGATACACTCGTGCGATTTGGCGAAATTGCGTCAAAGATCATTCGAGTCAAGGCCGAAGCAAAGCTGCAGTTTGTAAACAAGAGCGAGAGCATCGAGAAAGAAAACGTCTAAGCCATTTTCCAGTTGTACCTGTGTAATCAAAGCATTGAATAGGACGTCGGTTCTACGTCATTGCTGAAACTTTTGGAGTGACGACGTGTCTTTCATGAATAAAGTTGTCATTTTCCATGCTGTCGTGTCCGACATATCACTGGATGTTTTCATCATGAAGCCGAACGACCTCAAAGTCTTGCGTTTGTAGGACATCACTGACTAGATGCTCTACCCCCCCCCCCCCCCCCACTGAAAACTATTCTCTTGAAATACTTCGACAATGTTCGTGTCAAAGCAATGGCCACAAACTATTTTTCATCTCTCAGTACGTCAGCTTTCCACGTCAGTCCAGTTCCAGATTTTTGTGACGATATCCGATAACTCCATGAGTTCATCCGTATTCGGACGACGCGAGGGGTCTGCTGACCCATGATTTTACCCAAGCGAAAGGGCATTCAGTATTCATACGACGACGTTTAATGATGGGCATTGACAGGTGGATGGGTGGGATGCCAAGTCGGACGTTCCGAGCCATGCGAAATATTGGGGTAACGATTCAGTAGCTGAAATGCCTGTAAAGGAGATTGGCTCGACTGTAGGACTGTCGTGACTACGATTGTAAGAGTAATCAGCGTACAAGTCAAAAGGCTTAGCAAAAATCATGCATGAAGAAGCTTTTAGATGTCTGAGTCAGGCACTAACGTTAAGTGGGTTCCGACCTTTCCTTCCCTACAGAAAAACTACTTGACTGAGTTCTGACGAGACACACGCTCAATGAGAAAGTCCAAGCGTGGGACTCTCTAGATGTGAGAGAGTCGAGTTCATGCTAGAAAGTAGAAGAATGTGGGTGGCCTGGAGCAGTAAAGGCATGAGGCTTTCTGAGCTTTCATTTTACTGAACGCATAACATCGACTGACGATCCCTTAATGGACGTCCGCACAGTCGAAAACGCTCAACTTCATCTCGCCGCAACTATCTCACATTCGCATAATCCAATTTGCTCAAAGTCAATCGATCGATTGATATTTTCTTCTTCTTCTTCTTCTGCTAGAACGCAGCATTCCTCATGCCTCAGCAGCTCCACTCGTTTTTGTTGAACCGAAAACGGTCAACTATGAACAATGGATCTATTGATACTCGTGATTCAAACTTTCGAGATCAAACCCAAGAAATTCTAGGAGACCTTGGCGAAACTTGTCGGTATATGGATCTCATGGGATCTTCATCTCGACGTCGAACGCAGTTAACCAGCTCGACCCGAACAGTTCCTGTAGATAGACCATCACCAGCCATGTCATCATGGCACGGTATCAAATCTGACGGATATGTGCCCACATCACGAAAAGTGCAAGTCTCCGACACTGAGTTGATTCATCGTGCGTGTCAAGCTAATCTCGCAAGCCGAAAAGGAAGATTGCTCCGTGTACCTTCCGTGATGTGGGATTGCAAAGACATTTCAGGTTTTGCAATGCTTTCCCGACGAATGGGGGAGGATTTCGAGGTCTTAACAACGGGAGAAGTCGCTTGTGAACCATGTGATATTGAACCACTGCTTCGTCCTCGAACGGAAAGTGAGTACAATGCCGTCGCTCGCGATTTTCATGGCGATCAATTTATCTACGGATCCATTGTTCATGAGGTACAACCTCGAGGTTTCGGGAACGACTCGGACGATGAAAGTAAAGATAAATCACGGGAGGACTTTCATTTGGATGGAGAAGACCATACAGCAGTACGAACGGCCTGTTTTGCTCGCTCGCGAAGCTTTGCACGAAATGAAGAGTGGTGTTTTCTTGAACATTTTCAATCTCGTGCAGTCACACCGTCCAGTCCCTTTACGACCAATGAGTCGACTATCTCTTCAACAACAACATCAGTAAATATTGACGATTCTACGGGATTTACAATCGTAATCAGTTCAATGCCTGAAAACGAGCTGACGGCTGGCAAAATGAAGAAAGAGCGAGTTGTCCAATTGCACGGCATCACTGCAACATATTTGGTCGAAGCTGTGCCTCCAACTGTCGGATGTCGTGGTCCTCGTTCTCGTGTCAGTTTTCATGCAACATTTACAGCTTCAAAAACAATTCCAGATGGATGGGCCGACTCGGACATTGTGCGATCACGATTACTGACAATTGCAAAAAGTCTTCATCGTCTTCCAGATCTCGTACTACAACGACAGCATCAAGCAAGTCGATTCAGTCAACATGGTAGTTTTAGTAGTCGATCGGGTCAAGATTATCGTGACAATGAAGAAGCAAAGAATTCAAGATGCATCGCGTGTACGAAACGACTTCGGATGAAATTACTAAATGCTCCAACACGTCGATCCAAACGTTGCGAAATTTGTATGTATCGTGCCTGTGCTTCGTGCTGGTCAAAAGAAAATGTTGAAACCTTTAGTGGTCCGACTACAAGTGTTGTCATCTGTCGTCGATGCCATGAGAATTTTGGAAATACCGAGTAGTTTTTAGATGCAATTGACGCAATATTACGGTAAATTGTGAAAGGATAGGCATCAAGTTATGACTTGACGTACTAAATTAGAAAGTATTCAAAATTTATACAACTTGAGCGTATTTTATTAGGTACCTTTTTTTGTAATCGTCCATCTGTCATGGTGGAACAGAGACGATAAAAGACAGACGGGATATTTATTGAACGTTGGTTTCCGTAATCAAGTTGATTTTTTTCAGATAGTGTCGATTTGATAAGTGATACTTAAGTAAAACAAAAGATGAGCGCTACAATAGACACTTTATTGGTAAAGTTTGACTAAATTCTACAACTTACCGGCCTATAGTAATACTTCATTTACTGATAACTTGTCGACACTGCTAGATGCTTTTGGTCCTAAGGGTATCACGGTTAGGCAAGTCTTTCTGTCGTAAATGGTATATCAACATGTATCTAGTTATCGCTAAAGTTATAATTTTTACTAAATAAAAACAATATTTTGATAAATTGTGTTTTTTATTAGTATTTAAGGAAGTTCTTGTTATAAAATAGATATTTCTTGATGCATCTGAAACAGTAATTGTTTTTAAAAAATCTATTCGCCTCAATATTTTTTTTGGTATGAAACGTTAATTTCTGAATGACTAATCCATTCAAAGATAATACTACTGTACTACAGCGGTTTTTGCAATTTGTAGATTTGAAAACTGTTGAGATGTCAACCCTGCACATTTAGCATCAAATTCTTATACATTGGATGCGCTGTGTAGACTCGTGATAAGTGCAAACTGATTGCGTTAAGCAAAGAGGACAGGACGAAATGGTACTTCGTTTTTAACAAATTCCTCCTTGTTATGATATTTCTGGGTAGAGAGAGAGGTATGGCATATTCCACTTGAGTATGAAAATTCTCAGTGTCAATCTTGCATAGACCTTATAAGATATATGCCAGACGTGGACAGCTGGATCTACCACGCCTCGTCGGCTTCGACACCTTGATCCAAGCTTTGGATTTGTGTCCAGAGGAAACAGAGAAATTGCATTAAAATTCCTGTGGGAGGTGCTTACCTCATTCAATATTCAAAGCGAGACTACGAATTCTTCTACGTCAGTTTTCGATAACGATTTCCGTTGGAGCTAGCATTAACGGTGATAATTATAAGCACGTGCATTTTGTCTGGGGGTAACTTGCCCCGCTTGCGCGAATTAGCTCGACTTTATTATTATCAACTGGCCAATGTAATGCCAATCTTCAATACACGTAAGCTTTGTATTAGTCAGGCAAACCAAAATGTTGCAGCGTAGAAAAATAATTCATGTTACCATAAGTATTATATGTTTTTATTCTAATTCTGTTGCGATCGCTTCATCACTTAGCGAGTTCCAAAAAAGGAGAAATTTAAATAGGTAAGTAAGTTTTGCAAGCGATATAAATTCTCAAACTTTACTGATTATGATGAGCTGTATGTCGATGAATAAAATACCCGGGATGATCCTTGATACCACCAGTTTAGTAGCCTCTTCCCCAAATTTGCCATATCTGTGATACTAGTAGCAGCCTACAGGGAGGCAAAGAGTGCAGCTACAGATATCAAGACCACCATAGTCACTGAAAGTGAGGCCGTCAATGCACCAGAAACCGTATCAACCGCTGCTGACGCGTCCTTCGTCGGTTCCATTGAGTCTGATAAGGAGTTTAAACTGGAATCGCTGAGACTTACAGGTAAAATGTTCTGCAATACCTTCGTAAGCTCCTCCTCACTCATCTGACTCGCATTTGTAATATCGAACATGTTGGCAAGCGCTTCATCGTCTGCCACGGCTGCCTGTACATTTGCTAGAAGCTGCGCGACCGTCTCTTTACCATCGCCTCTGCTATCGGTCGCCATGTCGTCGGACGAGACGAACGTTGTCGTCATCATGTACAGCGTCGCCAAAAAAACGTCAAGTGTCCGGATCCTCATATTGCTCGTACGTGTGTGTGTATGTGTGTGTGTTCTGTAGTTTTCCTTCTACCCTATCGCGATGCAAGGGTGCTATCGGCTGCTGCAAACTTTCACCTTGTCGCAGACGGTTCCGTGCCCTGGCGTTCTTTTGTGACTGCCTATCGAAGGGGCTGTCGGCCTTACACCACTTGCGTTTTGTAGGGGATGGCTTCTTTCATAAACTGGATTTTATTGGTAGAAATTTTGAGAAGAACCAGATGGTTAGCATGAAGTTGCTCTTTCGCTAGTCCTAATTAAGTGTTACACCATTTCTGTAGATGAAGCTTCCTACATCATAGTATAGTATGTTTTAGCTACAGGTTACGATGGAGCTAAGAGTTCTGAGCCTTGTCTAAACACAAAACGTCCTTGCGGCTAATTAAAAAGAAAGCGCACTATTCAGAGTAAAATCATGGGCTACAACAAATTTTTGGGCATGACTTTGAAAAAAGATTGTTAAAATAAAATCATGTCTATTACTCTGTAGAGGTATATTACTATGCGCTCGTCCGTTTTCGTTTAGAGGAAATACATGCAGACGTGAATGAACTCCTACCAATCCACTTCAAGCTTTGCACACACTGCAACGTGTTTCCATATGTTATTAAGTGCCATAGCGGATACGCTGTCTCACATAGCGTACGACTCACTTTGTAATTGTCGACGTAAAAGATCTCGTAAAAATTCCTCAGTCAATTGCAAATAGATACCACTTGCAACAATCATAACAGATGCGAGATGACAGTCTCACTGCATTGTGTTAGCTGGTGCTCGGTTAGAGAACGGCATATGTTCTCTGACACATGTGTAGGCGGCTGCTAGGTCGCACCAGCTGTCGCTAATAAGATCGTCTGACCCACTATGAGATTAGGCTTGTATGTTATACACAAAAAAGACATGCTTTTTCGAGCCACCACTTAATTCACTGTATGATGCGGCATCATCTCGCGTAAATATGCCGTGCTGTATGTACCTAGGTACATCGTAGTATTAGTAATACGTCATCGTCCGCACGCCCAGAGTTAGTACGATTTGGCCGGTAGAATAGTCGACAGACTTGCCCAGGTTCGACTTGTTGTCGTCCTAATCAAATGTGGCACAACGATATCTTTAACCTGTCGATGAAAGAGAGAGCACAATCGTTGGCTTATACGCCGTCGGAACAAACGACTGCAACGTTTTTGGATTCTTTAAATTGGGATGTACATGATCTAAAGAATTTAGATGTGTTTTCCTTTTAATCGCGGCGGTACTGAAATGGCAAGCTGTTAGTGCCGCACTCGACCCTACTAGCAAGACAAGATGTCCGCAAGGTATTGGATATTAGGGGAAAACAGGCAATCTGAGGATTGATGTAAATTCAGCTACGCCCATCTGTTTGTATATCGTTCTGATGCAAGCCGTCTGAGTCCGGGAGCCGTTTCTCGACTAAAGCCGCGTAACGTTCCCTAAACTGAAGCAACTATTCTTCACTGACTATGTGTTTAGGCTTGTCAGTAGATCACGTGACCAATCAGAGCTAAATTTATACCAAGCCGTTATGTTACCGTTGCCGGCGGTTTTTATCATCTGAACGTGCACAGACTAAATGATCCTCTTACTGGCTGCTACCAAGCGGCAATGCGTCCAGACGTCTCGCAGCATCGCAGCATTCGTCCGTCCCAGCAACGCAAAGCTAGATTGACTTTCTTACAATCTGCTTGTATACACACGTCACAGACGTGATCGAAAAGTTTTCAAAAAGAGGTGTGCACACATCACCTAAACGAAGAGACACGACCACTTCAAGTCGAGGGCATAGTGGAGCCAACTGGTCAGCTTGAAAACACGGAAAGAAAAACCCAAAGCTAAGGCAACGAACTTGACCGCACTGAGCGCACACATAGTTACTTTTAGTGTGAGTTTTGCTATTCTACGATCGCAGCGAGTGCGCACTCGATTATCTGGCTCGAAAAAAAAGGAAACCTTCGTGACCTTCACTCTTGCATTCCGCATTCGTGCGTACGCTCAGAAACGACCTCCGCACTCGACGAGGTGACACCAAGTGTGCTTCAAGCTAAAAGTAACGGGCCGAGAAACTCCCCGCTGTTGATTAAAGAAGCTTGTGATCTGTCTAGGCATTCTACGAATAGCGAGAGCTGCGTAGACTTGCTCAACACCCGACTAAGTGGGTTGTATCTTATCGACAGAGTTTACCTGATCAAGTATGGCGATTACTTCCGTGAATATTGCCAAGAGAGAAGATTGTATTGACATGAAGGAAGTCAATACGACGACATATGGTAGCACTAGTACAGGCAGTCGTCTTGAAGTGCGCTCCTGGGAGAAGCTTTACCCGCATGGAGACGTCTATAGTCCGCGCACAGGTCACACAGTCACCAGCCAAGGTAAGCAGCTATTGAGAAAATAGAAGATGGGATGAGTTTATCATGGATAAGTCGAATATTAATGTATGGAATCTTGATATGGTGTAGATAATAAAGTGTATGTCTTTGGTGGTACAGATCGCAGACGTCGACAACATGATCTGTACCAGTTGGATGTCGGATCGGGCATGTGGTCACAAGTGCAGACGCATGGGGTGCTCCCACCGAGACGTTCTGGTGCACTTGGTGTTGTCCATGCGAGTGACATGTTTATCTTTGGCGGATATGACGGCCGCGACGGCAATTACTTTAACGATCTGTATTACTTCAGCTTTGATGATCAGCGATGGAGTCAGATGCCCAGTGTAGCGGAGAACCGGCCTGAAGCCCGCACCGACCACATTATGGTGCTGCACTCGTCCAGTATCTATATCTTTGGTGGTTATAATGGCTCAAGTCGGTTTAATGACCTTTGTGGGTATGACATTCAAGCCCAGCGCTGGATGCAATTAGAGACTTCTGGTGCTATCCCATCCAGGCGATTCGGACACAGCGGCGTCGTACATACTGAGACCAACCGACTGATTATTTTTGGAGGATGGGATGGGCGTGAGACCCTCAATGATCTGTACGAGTACAGCTTCGTTACGAACAAGTGGAGAAAGATGGAGTCGTCCGGCATCAGCCCACCACACCGATACCGCCACACGGCTGTGATTTTTGGAGACAATATGTTTGTCTTTGGAGGAGTAGACAAGACCCACAGTCGTTTTAATGACCTGCAACGTCTCGATTTGGTGACCAACACGTGGAGCGAGGTTTGTACTACTGGAAGCGTCCCGAGCAGCCGAACCTTCCACCGAGCTGTGGTCGTGGGTAGCAAAATGTACTTGCTAGGAGGATACGATGGCACGGATAGACTGCAGGATTTGTACTCGATCGACATTGGAGCGCTTACACCGCCGTCGCTGCTGGAAATCTGTGCTGACTACGTTCGAGCGAATTTGAACACGGTGATGGCGACAACAACATTTAAGGGTGTTCCACAGGATATCATTGATCATGTAATTTTCAAACGCGATCTGGAGGGAGGACTTCGGGGAAAGTGCAAGCTTTGCCGACCAGGCAGATGCTGTGTTTACCGAATGCAGAAGATGGAACCGTGCCCGCAGGATGACGACGAGCTGACTCGAGCAGACCTTTGCGGCTGCGTGTGTGGTCACTCTGCACTTCACCATGAGGTGGTAGAGGAATCAAGTATGTTCCTTACTAGACTCATTTATTATCCCGGCCAAAGTACTCATTCATCTTTATTGAAATTTTGAACTCAACAGCACTCTATGGAAAAAAGCCGATCGGACTAACATCAACAAAAGGTAACTAGACATCGCATTTGTGTATGTAAAATGCGATGCTAACATGCTGTTTTATATGCAATTACAGTGCTGGTGCTTTGTGGATCCATTTACAAGCGTCTTTTCGATTCAACGGCATCCCCATCGTCCACTTTGTCACTTCTTTCATCTCCGCGCAGTCATTACTCCGATGATAGTTCAAATAATGAGAAAGAATGCTTAGCATAGACATCAGACAGTAACAGCCGCCTGCTTTGCGCATTGGGACGCTTAGGAAGTCTGCTTAATCGACTAGGTCACGTCTGGAGCCATTAACTATTAACCAAGTACTACACTACTAAGTTACTCCATCTTGCCTACTGCGTTTCGCGTACATCCTCTTTATTTGTGCCGCAAATTTGACAGGTACGGCCTCCTACCCTCGAGTAAAGTTGACTCGATATAGTGATAGACATCGTCAATACCTGCATCGCAAACGACATCCTACAATGATGTAGGATTCGACCTTGTCACATTCGCGCACATTTTCGTAGCCGTCTTACACATCGAAAAGGTATCTTTGCGCTTACACCCCAAGTAAATTCTAAGCATCAATGTTTTTATGTATGACTGGGATGTTGCGGAGCAGCTACGGGTGCCGTGCTTTTTACATCGTAAATGTGCTGCAAAAAGATGTCGTGAATAAGAGCTGAGCGTAAACTCTCGCGTGTGATAAAACCAGTTTGCCATGTAAAGAGTTGATCTGGAATCGAAACTGTAGAATATTTACCTGTTTTAGCGTCCCCATGCAGATGTGCTCGAGCTTCGATTTACATTGCACGTGAACATCCTTCAGCATGAGCTCGTAGCCCATATCTGGTAATATGACACGTTCTAGAGTCATCTCTACTAGCTTGCAACAGTTTTGTACAAAGCCAAATTTTTACTATCGCCTGGGGCGGCTCCTAAACAACCGTCGAGTCTACTATGTAGAGCAGCACTGCGTCCTCTCTTTCTCTCCAGATCTGCCGTGGTAGACGTGTTGATACGTCATTAGAAGTATATAGCTGACCATTTTGTAAAGAAGACCCAGCAAATTTCTTATCATACATACTAATGTGCTTTAAAATTTATTTTCTTCAGACGAACTACTTTTAGCTCCTTTCCTTCACTACAAACTATCTATCGCCTCCATCATACTGTAGAAAACTTCCAAAAATATCGTAGCTCGTGCAATGCAATGTGGAATTGCAGTGATATGCGCTTTGGTCTCTCCAGACTCTGGAACGACTCGTTATACCAAATATTGCACACGGAAAGCAGGGTTGGTGGAAACCAAGCGCAACAAAAATTGCTGTGTAAGACGATTTAGTGCTGAGAGATTTTTATAGTGGCAGCCAAACCTGCGATGCAGTCGTAGTCGTATTTTTTGGGTTTTGGTTGGCTAAACAAAGAGTTCAATGCACTTCAAAGCCTCGTGCAGGCTTCCCTTCCGAGCTGGGAGTTCTTTGGCCTCAAAAGATTAAGAACCTCTGTTGCACCACTACGCAAGTCAAATCCCTGGATTGCTTGGCCAGGGACCACAAGAACTCCAAGTACGAGCGGACGCAGCACGCAAGCAAGAGACACAGTCCGACACAAGACATCAAGTAGTCAGAGATTAAGCGGTCAGAAGTGATCTAGTTTGCAGAAGGCAAGTCGGTGGTCAAGACAACGGTTAAAGTACACCGCGTCGACTCAACAAGAGCGCCTAAAGTAACCTGCGATCGTGTGAGGATTTTCACGCGATCGAACCCCCTACCACAATTAAGTCGAACATTGACTTTAGTCCACCGAGAAGAGTGAAATCCGCCCAAATGACGAGTACAGAAGTTGAGGACGTATTCGTACAAGTAATTGGGTACCTCCTTCATTAGTCGTTAGCCAGGGTGCCAGTGGAGAGTCGGGATCACATCAGCAATTTTGTGAGCCTTACTTCACCACAATGGTCCGCGTGCCCGGATCTTCTGGCGACTAGGAATTTCACTGTGAGTTCCTAATAGAATATGTAAAATTTAAGATTGAATTTAGAACGGAAGCGTCAGCGAAAGAGAATAGCCGTAAACGCATTGGATAAAGAATTCCCGATCATAAGAGTTTTAAGAGATGCCTGGATGACAAGACGAATATCGATGTTTTGATCTGTAGGAGGAACCTCAATAACACGTCCCAGGTTTCTTCGTCGGCCCCCGTTTTTGCAAAGTGATCCACCAAATGAATAATTTTCTTGAAAAAACCGAGAGAATTTATATAAAAACACCCCAAAGAAGTCGAAACAATGGAATATGAAGCCCTCACGAGTGAAGATGAAAGCGCCTGAATCGAATCACGATAATACCAAGCGTATCATGAAGCGAAGACGGATGGGTGACGTCTTAATTAGCTCCATGGTGTTAATTGGAAAGCGATAAAGAGTTGCTATAAAGTGGTCCAACTATGAAGATTTTAAAGCCGAAGCTGCTTTTATCACTACGAGGACCATTATCAACAACTCTTCTGACTTCGAACAAGTTGTAAACAATCCGTCGTATTATGTAGTGACTGCAAAATGCTGGATTTCACGCTGCTAAAGCTTTTGATGCGCACGTACTGCTGGATTGCGATCTCGATTTTGTGATCCAGGCAGGGTCATCGATGTTTACGAATCTATTTCTGCTCACTAAAAAGTAAGATTAACCGTTTCAAGCGATGTACAGATCGCTGATATATACCGAATGATTATCATACTGGATCATAACTGTACACGTCAGCATAATTAATTATGAATTCTGACAATTTGATTTACATCCAGCGGATGTCACTCGGACCGGCTGGTGCAGCACACATACGTAAACGAATGATATCGATTGAGAATGAAAGCAAGATTAACGATTATGCCTACGGCATAGGACGTGAATGCGACTGAATTAGGTCAGCTGCACTCCTACTCAAGGCAGATATGTAAAATTATGAACAGCATCATCAAGACCCATTCATTGCTCGTCGATCTGCAACCATGGAAATTTTAATAATATGCATCTCGCATGTGAAAATAGAATCGCAGGATCGCGTCATAATCGATTCAACAATGATGAATTAAAAAATCTGGAACCGGAAGATCTAAGGCGACCATTGGCGGCATCTACGGCTAGTGATGATATTGCTACTCATTAAATTTTAATGTCGGCATTGGTGGATATGAGAGAATTTACGAAACGAAAGAATGATGAAGATCGAGCAAGGATCTGGATTAGTAAGGTCAACTTTGCGCTCTTAAGTGATAAGCTCCGGATGCAGATAAGTGTTCTCTTTTGGCGATATACTTACATTGCTGCCGCGGAGCTGGTACAGCCAGCTAAGCCGATCGACGAGTTATTCGTGAAAGCTACTGCTGGTAAGTTTTATGATTTAATATGGCAGATACAGATTTGGCTGTCTGAAGACACAAAGTACCACGCGAAGAAGCGATTAGACTAAACTCCGCTAGAATACCTGTATTGTAGACGAGCGCTTCGTAAAAAAGCTGCCACGTACTACGCGGGCACACCTTCAAGCATCGCGCAGAAGCGGTTATACCGTCTTACCTCCGCGTGAGGTGGTGGTTGCGTTGGGCGGCCGCTTAAAGCGCCAACCCAAGCTGCTGTCGGACTCTTAGAGCGATCCGCGCAACGAAAAACTAACGAGTGCCTCACTAACGTCACGCAGAAGCTTATTAAGCTTCTCGTGCGCAGTCGAAGGTAATAGTAAATTTAAGACTGACTTATGTTCAATAGGTTTTAACTAAACATAACTCTAACTACTGATCAGTTAATTATGCAAAAATTGAATACGCGTCTCTTTAGAAGCGAAGCGTATCCTTACGTCCGAGCTCAAAATATATATGTGCTCGCTGGTGACGTCTATTTGATGACGCCCAGTCCCAACTGGCGTAATCCTCGTTGAGTGTGAATCCATCTATGAATATCACATTCATGAGGGTGGGTCACATTGATGTGCCACACCCAAGTGGCAGGCCTAAGGTACCTCGTACCCATTTAGGCCTGCCCCTTAAGTATTTAATACTTAACGAGACGTGTAACTTTTAGCCCGTTACACCATCCCCCTCTTTAAGGCGTTTTTACTTATTTGTAAAACACCGATTAGAGAGATGATACCACCGAAACGTACGCGCCGCGATAGCTCGCAGTTGTCGCTAAGTGTCTCTGTGACAGCCCCGGCATCTATTGTCAGCTTGTCAGCAGAGAACACTGGTCCATCCCACTATGGTGTGGATGAAGACTTGTCTCTCATTGTTGACTAAGATTAGAGTACGCTATTGCCATCACCCTAGCGTGGTGATGAGGGCAGAGCGTTGATGAGACATATGTCGTTATCATTTGAGACACCCAACCTTCAGGAAGCTTCCATGATTCCTGACAGCGAGGGTCATGTCTCGTCGTCTGCGTCAACGAGCGCAGCGACCACAACTGAGCGTGCTGCTTTACAAGAAACAGCCGCGACTCAACAGCAGAAAGGCGATTCTAAATTGTCCGCCTCTGTTAACCCTACATCTGATGTCTTGATAATCCATAATGGAGAGTCGGACTCAGGCGAGGGTACCCTTCGACTTCACAGTCGGCCTCACTAGCACGCCGTCGAGAGGGCGGCTACGTGAGTGATGGCTTTCCATCGATGCCGCCGCAATCCTAGTGGCCACGCTGGCGTGTAAATAGCGCGGATCTTTTTAAGAGTGTCCCAATTGACTTTAATAAACGTTTTAGCGTCTTTCCATCGTGAAAAAGGCAGAGAAACCCGAGCTCGTGCTTTCCCTATCCCAATCGTGTTGCGTTCAAATAAAACAACTGACGAATACGAGGCAGAGTTCCTGCGCCGTGTTACACCGCATGTAGATGTGATGAAACAGCGGTCGAAGCGAATTAGATTCGCTATGACGCTTGCGAGGTAAATGTTAGGTGATAACATACCCCCAACTTCTTCTCGCTACGCTGCCCGTGCTATTCCATCAGGACCTAGCAGAGAGAATATAGCTGGTGCTTCATCTCGTAAGCAGCCACCATTCCAGACAAGTCGACGCGCAACGCGTCAACAGGTTCTCAAGAGTCGAAAATCTTCGTGTAATCCTTTCACTTGACAAAAATGTGAAGCTTTTGCTTCTTCAGATGGCGGTGGTCCAACAACCTTCCAACAAGGAAGCGTGTGTTCCTATTCGCATTCACCAATCAGGTAGCGAC